TATCTTCAGACAGAGTGGGAGGGAGGGGGGGGAGAGAGACAGAGAGAGAGAGAGAGAGAGAGAGAGAAACATTGATGCGAGAGAGAAACATCGATGTGAGAGACACATTAACTGGTTGCCACCTGCACGACCCCAACTGGGACCAGGGATGAACCACAACCAAGATACGTGCCCTTGGCCGGAATTGAACCCGGGACTCCTCGGTCCGCAGGCCAATGCTCTAACCGCTGAGCCAAACCAGCCAGGGTTATTTTATATTAGTTTATTATTTTTATTATAAAAATATTATTTATATTAGTTTCAGGTGTACAGAGTAATGGTTAGACCATCAGAATTTACAATACATGCGTTTTTGACTTCAGATATTTTCAACTTGCCATGGGTTTATCAGCACATAAGGTGTAACCCATGAGTCAAGGAGCATCTGTAATCTGAATTTCACTGATTGGTCCGAAATTGACTTCAGTTTTTTCTTTTCTTTTAGCTCCACAAGCACTGGGCTGGAGAGGAGGTTGCTAGCCAGTGGGGGAGCCGGACATACCAGCAGCTGCGAGGGGGCAGGGAGAGTGCGGTGATGAGGTGCCCCAGGGCACAGAGGAGGGCCTTTCAGGTCAGGCGGCTCCGTTTGGAGTGACTCCAGTCTTGATGGGTCTCATTTAATGAGCACCACTGGGGGCAGGCACCTCCTAGTCCTCTGAGGCCGTCCGCATGGTCCAACAGCACAGCCTAGTGGGCAGACCGTGCACTGCACTGCCCACCTCTGAATCCAGGTTGGCTATGGTAGCTGTCACACCTTGGGCAAGTGACCTATCCTCTCAGTGCCTCAGGTTCCTCACCTATAAAAATAGGAATCATAGTATTTACCCAGTTCATGGAGCTGCTGTGAGGATTCAACGAGTTAATAAATGTCAAAGAGTTTAGAAGAGGGTCTGGCACCTAGTGAAATACAAATGTTTACTATATACCATGATTCCCATTTCATAGATGAGCAAACCAAGGCTTAGAGAAATTAAGTAGGTTCGAGGTCATACAGCTACCTAAGGTCACACAGCTAACTAAGGCCACACAGTTGGAGCCAAGTTGGAGTACAGAAAAATATGACCTCACAGTCCATGCCCTTAATTATTGACTTCATTTTTATGCCTTTGTAAGACTGTCATTAAGTTTCAGAGAAGAAGAAAGATGTCAGATTTTGGCGTGAAAAACCTAGCCTTCTTCCATCCAGTTTCACAGACGGCTGAGTACGTGGCTTGGAGGAAACCTTCATGCCCAGTACTGGTTGGGGAAGATTTGTAGTTTCCGGGGTCTGTGCCGGTGTTATTTTCAGTTGGAGTTGGGATGGTGTTGGGGTTGAGACCACCTTCATAATAAGCACTTTTACACCCTTGATCTTATGTGATCCTGAACAAGGGAAGACAAGAATCTTTCTCCAGATGAGGAAACAGGGTCAGGGAGATGAAGGGACTTGCCTGAGTACTTGCAGCTCATCAGTGACACAAGGTGCCCGTCTGACCCTGGTGGGACACCTCTCCTGACACCTAACCCTCCCTGCCCCTCATGGGGGAATCATAGGAATAGCCTGAGATGCGATGTCACATTTGCCTGTGTCCCTGGCTTCCCCAACTCCCTGGCCAGACTGTGGCGGGTCAGTCTCTGGGTTCCCAGGCCCTGGTGCCTGTGCCCTAGGGCTGGGTGAGGAGCAACTGCAGGTCATTGGAACACATCAAAGGGCACTGGAATTGCTGGCATTTTGGTAGCTTTGACTTGCTTCTTGGCCCAGTGGTTCTCAAAGTGTGGTCCCGGACCAGCATCTCCTGAGGACTTGCTAGATTTTCAAACTCTGGGCCCTATCACAGCCGAGTGACTCAGAAACTCCGGGATGCGGCCTAGCAAGCTGGGTTGTAACAAGATCTCTAGGTGTTTGAGAACCAGTGGTTTGGACAACAGCACCTGCTGTTTGGAGTTGGGCACCAAAGTCCAAACCCCCACTCTGCCCTGTCTTGCTGTGTGCCCTGATGCAGGCCACTCAACCTCTCTGATTTGTTTCCTCCTCTGTAAAATGACCCTTTGCAGGAAAGGTGCTCTGTACAGGGCCTGGCATGTAGCTGATAAATAAGCCCAAAGCTGAGAAGCTGCCCATTCCTGGCAGTGCCAGGGTCAGCCTGGCCTTGGCCTTGCCTGGCAGGGAATGTGCCTTGGACCTAAAACACAGGTGTGGCCAGATCCAGTGCTGCCTGGGTCTGCCCTCCTGGGGCAGTGGAGCTGCCTCTATCCCTGGCCCAGGTCTGTCCACTGGGGGTCCAGGTGCGTCCACTAGGGGGTTGTCTGTCCAGTGTGACATTGTGAGCTGTCTCCATCCCAGCCTTGGCTCCTCTGAAACCACAGAGGTCTAACCCAGAGGTCCCTGTCTGCCCTTGACGGAAAACCGGGCCGGTGGGAGGCACACCCCCTGCAGGTGTGTAGGGAAGAAGCTGGGAGGGGCACAGGCCCGCCTCACCTAGAGCAGAGCGGGCTGGGGCGGTGAGCAGAGGGCAGCCGCCACCTGCAGAGCGGGGGCCATGAGGGGTCGAGAGGAGAGGAGCTTCCCGGCTCCTACAGGGCAGGGCACCTGCCTGGCAAGGTCTCACTTCTGGACATCCCTGAGGTCATGGATGGAACCCGGCTCAGAGAGGCTTCAGGTCCAATGGGGCGGAGGTCCAGCCTGAGCTCCTGCCCAGGTGGGGATGCTTCCTCCTGGAGGTGGGGGAAACGGCTCAAGGACCCTCCTGTCCCTTGCCCCTTAGGGTTTGGGGTGGGGTTAGAAGATCCTGTTTTTCCTGATTTCCTGAGGCCTGTAGGCTGACCCCCAGGATCCACCATGCATCCTCTCAGGGACATCCTGCCACCTCCTCTCTGGTGCCCCCCACCCCGTGTCAGAATGACTGTCCCTCCCTAGCCTACCCGAGCTTCCCAAAGGCAAATGCGGTCCCTTCTTCATTTCTGTCCTGGCACCCCTGAGTCTTGCACACAGTGGGTGCTTAATAAATGCTTGGTGAATGAATGAGCCAGGAACAGATAAGTAGGGAGGGAGCCAGCCGGTTTTCTGCCTGGAGGTGCTACTCAGGGTCAGGCCAGGCTCAGCTTCCCAACCACTGCTCTGTGTCACTTTCCCTCGCTTGGCCTCAGTTTCCCCATGAATGCGGAGGGGGTTGTTCAGGGGGCCCGCAGGGGACCTTCTCAACCTCCTCCATCCTTATCCTGATGGACAGTGAGCAGGCACAGTCCACAGGCCACCCAGCGAAGGCCAGGAGGCACGGGAGGCCTTTCCTGCGTTTAGGTGGATGAGGACCCAGTGGTGAAGTTGGGACAGAGGCCAGCCCGTCCTCTGCAGGGATCTCAGAAGGCCCAGAGTTTGTTCAAGCTTCAGCAGACCCAGATCCCTGCCTGGGTCACTGACTATCGCTTGCGAGCCCTCCAGGCATACCCCTCCCAGCCCCGTGTTCAGGAGAGGGAAGGGACAGGCTGCTCAGGGCCCCAGAGACCCAAGGGTGGTGTGGACAGTGCACACTTTCAGGGGACCATCCTGCTCCAGAGAGGAGGCAGCTTGGTTCGGGCCATGGCTGCAGGGCAGAGGACGGAGGGCAAAGAGGAGTTGGCGGCCCATTCTTTCCTGGGGAAACCGAGGCTCAGAAGGGAGAGCTGAATCTCGCAGCTTGGCCCGAGGGCAAGGACTGGGCAGCTGGGCAGCGAGCGCTCTGCGTTCCTTGCAGGTGCTCCGGCTAACGGCTAACGGGCTGAGGAAAGGACCGTGCTGAGCAGAGGGGGCTCCGCCCAGCTCTCCAGGCTCCTCCTGCTCGCCCCCTTGCTCTGCGCCGGCCGTGGAGGATCCAGGAAGGGACTGCTCTTAGGAATCCTGCAGATGTGGGTTTGATCCTGCAGCTGTCATGGGACCTCGTGTCCTCTTCTGCACAGTGGGGTGACTCCAGCCTCCCCCATGAGCTGCCGCACAGTGCACGAGCTCGAGTGCCCCGGGAGCTTGCTCGAGGCCCTCCCTGTGCCCGGTCCCACGTCTCTATGGCAGCCTGGGGCCTACAAGGCGGAGGCTGGTGTCCTCCCTGGGCGGCAGGCAGCTCCCGTGGGCACCAACTCCTCCGCAAAAGTGGAGAGCGCGACCCGTCACCCGTCAGACAAAGCGACACTGCTGTGGCAGCTGCCCACCTCACCCCTGGCTCTGAGCCCGGTGCCTGCATGGGGGCTTTTCTGGGCAGCTTCACCGGTCTGCTGAGTGTGGAGGGCCGAGGGGATCTTACCTGGTGGCATGGGCCCACCTGACCTCCTCAGGTGAGTCTGGCTCCTGGAGCCTGCTCCTTGCTCTGTGAGCGGGACATGGGGACTCACCCCTCCCGGGGTGTTTGGAGATGAGCATGTGCTGCGCAGATGATGTCAGAGCAGGGCCAAGGCCCAGCGCACAGCGGGTGCTCAGGAAATGGGTGGTCTCTGGTCTGGTCCTGTTGTTTGGGCCTCAGGGAGGGAGGGAAGGGCCAGGTCACACAGGAGCAGGTTTTGGGGAAAGGGGAACCAATCCTGAGGGGTTCAGGTGCCTCACAATCTCCACCGCTGGTGTGGCAGGGGCAGTGGGTGGGGACATGGCCCCTCAGGATCTCACCGGGCTCCAAACTTGGTAAGTGGACAGACACACGCCCACCAGCGGGTGTGAGCATGAGGCACACCCATGGCACAGAGACAGTCGTGCTCACGAGATCAACTGTTTATTGATTCTTTTCCTAAAATACTATACATTTAAAGAAACTCCTAAACTGAAAAGACGATGATTTTTGGTAATCCGTAGCAAAGGAATGAGGGTTTTTGCTGTTAAATCTTCAAGATACACACACACATCTACTTTCCAAGCAAGACGCCGGGCTTGGAGCGCGGAGGAATGCATAGCTTGTGACGCAGCGGCCACTTCTCCATCGTGACTTACACAAAATAAAAGCTTTCCCGCCCCCCCGCCCCCCGTGATTACAGTGTCACTTCCTGCTGCAGCATGTCTGCTCCCTGATGACCAAGGACACTCAGAAGAGACCCTTGTGCGATGGGACGAGACCCAGCTTTCGTTGGCTCATGAGGAATACGGATGATGAAGTCTGCGACTGCCGGAGAGACCTGGTTACAGGTTCTGCTGTGGAGGGGACGAAGGCCAGTAGCAGGACCTGCAGCTGCCGGTGAGCACAGACTGCCCTCCCGCGGTGTCCCCTCCAGAGGCCCAGGGCTCATGTCCTGAGCCTGGAGGAGGCTCGCCAAGCCCACCGGCCAGGCCTGGGCCCGAATGCCATGGTCTTCAAGCAGTTTACAAATTAAATCCACTGTCAAGAGCCTTTCGAATCTCATGAAAACAGTAGACAAGCTCTTTAGATTCTCTGAGTATCAAACAGCATATACAGGACGAGACTGTCTCACAGAAAGTGCCCTGACCTACAGGCCTCTGCCTGAAGGGCTCGTCTTTCCAGCGGAACCTCCCACGTCACCACGGAATCGTTCACTTGCCAGAGCAGAGCTTTAAGCACGAAGACAGTGGAGTTTTTAAATATTGCAACTTTGGGGAGAACTACATCAGGTTATTTCCAACACCCACACATTCACTGTGGAGACCCCAGCACAGTGTGCCCCCTCCTGTGCTCGCCTCACACGCGTCTAACCGGGCCAGGCTGTCGCAGCAGCCCCAGGCCGTGGTAGCCGAGGGACAGCACATGGGACAGGTGTCACTGCCCAAGCAGGTGCACAGTGATCTGTGCCATAACTTAAGGGTGAATGAACGAATGACAGGTACACAACGAAGTACATGTACACAGCCTTTACATGAAACCTCAGGAAACGGCGGGGCAGTCTGTTCATCTGAGCTGCGGGTGATGAGCACATCAGAGACGTCAGCGGAACGAGAGTCACTGTGACCCCCACTGAGCAGAGGAGAGGCAGACAGACAAGGTCAAGAATACACAGATTCATGATAAGCCACACGCACACTGAGTGGGGGGGCAAGGGCGGGTGATGTCCGTTGTACTGCGTCTTCCTGCTAAGATCTCTCCATCTGCCTGTGGGAAGGCTGCCCAGTCCCAGGTGAAATGACCGGCTCATCTGTCTTCAAGAGACACCATGAAGCCAAGAACAATGGAACCATCATCTTCTGCAGGAAAAGGAGGAGATGCTTACACAGCCGGCTGGAGGCGCCAGAGTGCTGCCCAGGCTGACGGCTAACGGAGTTCCTGGGACCGCACCCCTCCGCCAGCCAGCCCTCTGGGCTGTCACTGGATCGCCTCGACGTAATTTGCTGGGTACAGGCCAACCTGTCCACTGTCCAAGCGTCCCTTGCACCAGCCCTGCTCGTCCTCGTCCTCGATCTTGGTCAGCTCGTCCCCTGCAAGACAGAGAGGGAGGTCTCAGTGAGCCGGCAGGCGACACACTGACCACCAAGTCAGCCACCCTCATGTCTCAGCCCCTCGCCGGCCACAGAGGGTCTCTGACTAGGGCAGGAGGGGCAGACATTCTCCTAGGGGCAAGGTGAGCTGGGCCTGCTTGCTCCTCTATCTACTACACTCACTGTAAGCTGCCTTCTCAGAGGCCTCGGAAATCTGGAGACGTCTCTCACTGTCACCCTGGCTGAGCAAGCGGCTCCCAAATGCCACAGTGGCTCCCAGAGGCTCCAGAGGCAAGGCCACAGGTCTTGTGCCTGAAGACCGCCTGAGGCCAGAGGACTCCCATCACAGGGCCACCATCCCCGGGGCCCGCCCGCTCGCTCGCTCTTCTGGGTCTCCTCCAGCACTTGTTGCCATGGTCTCGGACCTTCACTTTTTTTCCTTTTTAAATCACCAGAGGAAGTTTTTTCTATTGATTTTCAGAATGAAAGGGAGGGAGGGAGAGAAACATCCATGTGCGAGACACATATCGATTGATTGCCCCCTGCAGGCACCCTGACTGGGCCGGGGATCAAACCTATAACCCAGGTATGTGCCCTTGACTGGACTTGAACCTGCGACCCTTTGGTGCACGGGCTGGTGCTCTAACCACTGAGAATACCAGCCAGGGCTCAGGCCTCCATTTATTCTGGGTCCAGGTTTCAGGCTATGGGAGAGGCGGGCACCCGTCTTTCTATCCCCAGCACCCAGCGCAGGGCATGTCCTCCGACTTAAAAACAGCAGCCCCTGCTGACGCGGAGATGGAGCTGCTGGCCCAGCTCTGGAATCTCGCCATGGCTCTGTGCAGGTGGTGTGACTCATCTTCTGCTTGTTCAAACATGAGGGAGCCCTTCCTCAGGCCGGTCCCGGGGGCAGAGGAGATTCAGAGATGAGAGAGACAGAGAAGCTCTGGTCCCTCAAGGGGACAGGCCAAGGGACAAGGATCACAGGTGCGGTCAGGTCTGTGGTGGGAGAAGATCCAGGCCTGCCGTTCTTCTGTCCAAGGCAGACAGAGCAGCCCAGAGCCAGGGGCCGGGTGAGAAGCCGCCTGGCACCCTGGCTGTGAGCACCTGGCAGAGACAGTGCGACCCCCGCTCAGGGCGGGGCAGGGAGATCGTGGCCCCGGGTATGGGTTGTTCAGTTGGTGGCTTTGTATCTCTTGTGGGCATTTCGGCCCCTTCTCAGGCTGACTCGCCGTTTAGGCCTTGTCTACACCTCCCTGCCTGCTGGTTCACAGCAGCAATACTGATCAAGACGCTTGTGGGCGGTACCGCGGCTGCTGCGGTCAAGTCCGGGAGCCACTGTCACAGGCGAGCTGCCTGCCCCTGGTCCCGTGTCCCCCTGTGGACGGGGTGCTGCGAGGACGACGGTACAAGAAAGGACAGGGACAGTGCCAGGTGTGCCATTGCTCCACGCAGCATGGTCATCCCTCCTGGGGCTGGGCCGCTGATGGGCCCCGGCCACTCTGTCACACCGGGTGGTGTGCCTCTGACTTGGCAACGTCAGCGGGTGCCAAGTCAGGCGGGCAGGGGCTGCAGGGGGGCAGCACGGGGAGCGGGCCTGTGTCCTCCGTCCCTGGTTTCTCTCACCCTGCCCTGAAGACAGACCGAGACACCCGCACGGCGACGCTCGGCGTGTGCAGTGCACCGAGAGCCAGAGGCGGCGGGCACCAGAGCGCACCAGGCAGCCCGGAGCACCGCTGTGGGACTGATGTCACGGTGTGAAAGACAAGTCACAGGAAGCTGACAAAACTGACAAGGAAGCTTCCAAGCTGGAAATATGGGAGCTGGTGATTAGAAATTCTCGTCAATTTGCTTCTGCCAATTCACTCAGAGCAAAAGGAAACATTTTAAATACACGAAATTGCTGAATGAAGACTCCAATAGTAAGACTGAGAAATAATTACAAAGATAAACAAACAAATTAAGAAACAAGGTAGGGGAAACAACCCCAACCAAAGATGTCAGAAAACTGGACGAGATGTCTAAGGGCACACTCGAACTTCCACAGCCAGACAGCGGCACCTGAGGACCAAGCCTTGCGGGGTGTCGGGACAGCCAGGGGAAGGAGGCGGAGGGCTCCTCTTCCCAGGCCCCCCGAGGACATGTAGGAGCAGAGCCCGTCAGATACAGCCCTTCTGCACCCCTACAGCAAAGGGGGTCAGACGTAGGGGTCTGTCCCAGGTGTGGCCCTTGTTGGGGCGATGCTGGACCAGGCGGCTCTGTGAGGGGCACGCAGAAGGCCTTGGCCCCTTTCGGGCCCGCTGTGGCACCGGGCTGCTGGGCCTCCTTACACAGCCTCTAAGTCTTTTCAAACTGCAACCCGTCTTGGTGAACTGTTGCCAGCATTAAAAACAAAAAGAAGCCCTGGCCAGTTTGGCTCAGTGGTTAGAGCATCGGCCTGCGGACCAGACCTGGGTTCGGTTCCCGCGAAGGGCACGTACCTCGGTTACAGTTTGTCCCCGGCTGGAGTCGTGCTGGTGGCAACCAGTCAATGTGTCTCTCTCACATCAATGTTTCTCTCTCTCTCTCTTCCTCCAGCTCTAACTGAAGATAAATGCAAAAATGTCCTTGGGTGAGGATTTTAAAAAAAGGGAAAAGGAGACAGACACGGAGAGAAAACGTCTGCATGCATCTACCAGTTCCGTAAAACCGAGGTTCCAGCTCCTGGCAAGAGGTGTGTGGGTGGTGAATGGACACAGTGTGGCTGCAGGGAGACAGTTTGAAAGGCACTGCCTCAGCCCTGGCTGGTTTGCACAGTGGTTAGAGCGTTAGCCCGTGGACCAGTGAGTCCCGGGTTCAATTCCAGCCAAGGGCATGTACTTCAGTTGTGGTTCATTCCCCCGCCATGGTCAGGTTGTGAGGGAGGCAACCAGTCGATGTGTCCCTCTCCCCGTCTCTCCTTCTCTCTCTACTTGAAGATTTAAAAAAAGAGAGAAAGGCTCCGAGACGTCCTATGCTGGGGTCCAGGCAAGGCAGCTCTGCCAAGGGCTGCTCCGCCAGCAGGGGCCTCTGGAGAAGGGCTGTTCCCGAGTCCCTGCAGGCCGCAGCCCCCGGAGAGGTAGGGGAGCCTGGTGGTCCTGGCGATTAGCATCTCCTGCTCCAGGCCCTGCTGTGCCCAGGCCTCGTCAGCTGGGGCAACATCTTACGCAAAGGTGCAAAGGCATAAAGGCACCTCACAGTCTACGAAGCTCTGGCACTGAGCATCTGCTACTCCTTTCATAGTCCTCACTGGAGGATATGTTTCTACTGGTTTTCAAACAGAGTGGGAGGGAGGGAGGGAGGGAGGGAGGGAGAGAGGGGGAGAGAAGGCAGGGAGACAGAAACATCGATGTGAGACACACATCGACTGGTCGCCTCCCACATGACCCTGACCAGGGCTGGAGGTTGAACTGCAACAGAAGTATGTGCCCTTTTTTTTGTGTTTTGTTTTTTTTTTAATCCTCATCCGAGGACATTTTTCCATTTTTTGTACAGACAGAGTGGGAGGGAGAGAGAGGAAGAGAGAGAGAGGGAAACATCGATGTGAAAGGGACACATCGAGTGGTTGCCACCCGCACAAACAACCAGGGCCGGGGACAAACTGCAACCGAGGTACATGCCCTTAGCGGGAACCGAACCCGGGTCTCTCCGGACCGCAGGCGGACGCTCTAACCGCTGAGCCAAACCGGCCAGGGCCAGAAGTATGTGCCCTTGACAGGACTCAAACCCTTGACTCTGTGGTCCATAGGCCAATGCTTTAACCACTGAGAAAACTGGCCAGGGTGCATCTGCTACTTTTGAAGTTGGGTTGGGGGAACCCCACTCATGAAACTAGCAGGAATTTTAGCAGACTTTAAATAAAGCAAGCCTGCTCGGCCGGTGTGGCTCAGGGGTTGAGCGTAGACCCATGCACCGAGAAGTTGCTGGTTCGATTCCCGGTCAGGGCACGTGCCCAGGTTGTGGGCCAAACCCCCAGGGAGGCATGCAGGAGGTGGCCAATTGATGTTCTCTCTCATTGATGTTTCTATCTCTCTCTCTAAAATCAATAAAGAAAAAAGAATTTTTTCCCTAACAATAAGTAAATAAATAAATGGATCCAGCAAGCCTCCCACAGCGCTCGTCCAGATGCGGGGGGGAGGGGGGGCACCTACCAGCCTTGAAGCTCAGCTCGTCGTGCTCCTGTCCCTCGTAGTCGTAGAGGGCCCGGACCCGCACTTCCGTCCCCGAGGTGGCATCCTCATCGAACGGGTTGGAGTCCCCGTTGGCATCCGTGGAGGAGAACGGGTTGTTAGACTCATCGTCTGACCAGTCAGCAGGGTAGCTCTGCGTCTTCTCGTAGCTGCTCACACTGCAAGAAAGCGTGGAGCCGGGCCCTGAGCACGGAGCTGCCGAGGCGTGAGGCCCGGGCTGGCTGGGCCTCCTTCCGTGGGAACAGCCTCAGCCTCACGGCGTGGTCAGCTCCCTGGCGGGCCCACACCGGCTCCTGGCAGAGGCAGGACTGGCAGGCTCCAGCAGGCCACCCAGCTGGCCTGTCTTCCTGTGCAGAGGCCTTGACTACGGTTAATGGAGGACAGAGAAAAAGCAACCACAGATTGTTAATTGGTGCCCCCCTCCCTGAGAAATAAAAAAGCGAGACTGTCCACAGCTGGCAGCCGGGCCACCGCCTGCGGGCCTCATGCATTGCTTTGAGTGCCAAGGGACCGAGACCCTGGACAGAGAAAAGGAGAAAGACAGAGCGAGTGAGGTGGAACCAGAGGGAAACATCTGTTCACCAACTTTTTGGCCTTAATGTCCTCCTTCTCACTGACGGTGCTCCCCGTGTCGTCCTCATCCTCGAAGGGGTTGTAGCTGGACAGTGACTGCGCTGACCGTGTGGGGATGCTCGGGACACTAAGGTCGCTAGGGGAGAGAGAGAGCTTTCAGGGGACCCCAGCTTGGCAGCCCCTAGGCCCTGGGCGCTCCCAGCTGCAGGATCACAGGGCCAGGGGCTAAAGGCACAAATCAGATGGGAGGAATATGTTGTCTAAACAGAAAGTTTGTCCCGGCAAAACACTTGACAACACTCTGGCTGCTAAACACATTTAAAGTGACTAAGAAGAGATCTGATTTTCTCTCCTTGCGTCTGGACGCAGTCTGTCCCAAATGGGAGCCCTGGGGTGGAGCTCACGGAGAGTCTGCCGTTTCCCCACTACTGTGAGCTGGCAGACATCCTCGGGGCTCAGCCTGTGGGGCTCAGAGCCACGCTGATGAGGAGGCTCCCGGAGCTCTGCGGACCCCCCAGCACAGCGCACCCCTCCTGACTGCCAAAGGGCCCAGTGGCCTCTTCCCTGGTTCTTCTGGGCCTGGAGCTTCCAAAAGCAGCACCAGAGCCCGGGGCATAGCCCTGTCCAGGAAGAACACCTTTTGTGATCCAGAGAGCAAATCCATCTGCACGACTGTGTAAACTGCCCACTGTGTGCCAGGCCCAGGAGGACCAGAGAGAAATCAGACCCTAGCCTGGCCTGAGGGCTGACAGCCAGGGTGACGGGGCAGGGACTGCGGGTGCTAAGCACAGAGCAACTGTGAAGAAGTGACAGGTCCCGAGAGCCCAGCACCCCATGGGGAACTGCGTTGAGGGGCCTGAGCTAAGGCACAGGGCAGGGCTCCGGCGGCCAGCGCCACCTCGCGCCACTAAGTCCTGGCGCATGGAGCAGGCACTCAAGGTGCCGGATGGACGGCTCAGAGCTGGCGAGGGGAGGGGAAGAAATGCCTCAGATGTCACCGGAGTGACCCCACATAACTCAGACTTCAGGCCTGGTGCAGGGCACTGGACCCCAGCCTGCCCGCTGCCTACACCTGGGCCACCTGCCTGAGACCAGGCCCTCCGCCATCCTTGGCACCTTTCTCTAGCTGACATTCTGAGAGGGGCTGGTGCTGCAGCTGGATTTGTGCAGCAGCCCGGGCAGCCTAGGTGCGCCCCAATAGACGCTCCCTGGCATGGTCTCATTCTCCCCACCCTTCACCATCACACAGGTGCTGGCATGATCTCTGGGACAGTACTTACTGCTTCAGTCACTCAACCAAGCCCACCTGCCCCAATGGGGACAAAGCAGCTGAGAGATGACAGGCCACATGCGCCCAGGGCATCTGGGCGGGGGCTTCAGTGCCTGGGGCTCCAGAAAGAGCCCTGGAACCTGCACTGACCCTTCCTCGGGAGCCACGGTCACGACATGTCACAGCACGCGACGTGCTATCACTCTGCGCGGCGGCGGTGGCCTCGGCCCAGGCTGGGTGGCAGGCACAGCTCCCAGGGAGAGACAGCCACAGCTCCACAGAGGTGACAACACTTATCTGATGGGAACTCTGAGGTGGGGACAGGCCTTGACTACACCCTTTCCAGGAGGTTCTAATGACCTCAGTGCCACTTCTTCTATCCAAACAATGAGAAACAGCCCTGGCCAGTTTGGCTCAGCGGTTAGAGCGTCAGCCCACTGACCAGAGACCTGGGTTCAGTTCCCGCTAAGGGCACGTGCCTCGGTTGCAGTTTGTCCCTGGCCCTGGTTGGGGTCCTGTGGGTGGCAACCACTTGATGTTTCTCTCTCACATCGATGTTTCTATCTCTTCTTCCCTTTCTCCCTCCTGCTCTATCTGAAGATGCAAAAATGTCCTTGGGTGAGGATAAAAAAAAATGTTTAGAGAGAAATAACCAAGGCTCTCAACACAGAGGTGATTTCAGAAAGGGGACACCTGACAATGCTCTTTGCCCCCCCCCCCCCCCCCCAGGAACTGCGTACAGCTTGGGTGAAGCATAAACCTGCCAGGACACCAGAACTCGCCCAAGGGAACGCCAGTGACCTCCCCCGACGTCAGCTCCTCCCCTCACTCGGGGCCCAAAGCATACTCGTGGCAGAGGCTCCCTCTCTGAATCTTTCTGCAGCTCTAGTGCCAGTGGATGGACGCTTCTCCCCGGAGATGCCCTGGGGGCCCCAGCAGAACTCAGGTGCCCAGGGAGCATCTGGACAGAGGGCTGTGGGATCACTGCGAGGCCCCACTGGGGACTCTCCCGGGCATCCAAGCCGGGGTGAGGGTGGGGGTTCCTTGCATGCAGAGGGCCCAGGGGGGAGGCTGCCCGCACCCACCTGCTGGGCTTGTTCTGCAGGGCCTGGTCGCCCGTCTGGTTGATGCCTGTCAGAGTGACGCCATCAGTGGGCTTCTTCTTCTCTCTCCGGCTGAGAGTTCGATTCATGTCTGCAGACCACTCCTGGGCAACAGGTACCGAGGGTTAAAAACAGGGAACTTCACTGGTCTGAGGCATTGTCAGTCTAAAACACAGGGTGGGGCTTGGCCTTCCTAGCTAATGACCCTTTCCTGTCCATGCCCTAAACTGTCTGCTTCCCAGGGCTCGGGAGCTGGCTGCAGGGACCTGAGCACGCCTGCACTTGGGAAACAAAACCTCGGGGTGCAAACAACATCGGGGCTGGGTGGCCATGGCAGCCCCAAAGGGGCAGATGAGCTAACCGACCACCCAAGTCTCCAAGGAGTGGCGCCCTCCCCTGGTGCTCTCTGCTATTCCCTTTCAATCTAAGGAGCGAGGCGGGGCACTTACTAAGCAGAGAAGAGCCTCTCCCCAAGGCTCACTATTTCCCGGCACAGGAACGGGCTTTTATCCCGCGCCCTGCAAACACTGAGCAGGGAAAGGAGGGAGGGGCTAGTCATGGTTTCCCAGCAGCGCATGTGTGCGCTCGGTTCACGGTTAATAAACCCTCCCTCCCGAATGCGCCCATCGTCAGCCACCTTCAATGGAATCAGTACTTGGTGTGACTGAGTCCCCAGCTTGGCTCACATCAAGCTACAGAATCTCAAGGTCAGACGCCATCTTAGAAACGTCAAGCTTAACAATTTCTCAGGTGAGGAAACCGAGACCCAGAAAGACAAAGTTACTTATCCACACAGTCAGTGCAGACCAGGCCACCTATCTGTTTAGTGTGTCTCAGCTGAAATAAGACGCCTGAGAACTCAGCTGGAACTTGAGTCCCCACCCGACCTTGCAAATACACTCTGTCCCGACTGAGTGCCTTGCAGGGCGATGTGACCCACCCAGCCCGACTTGAAAGGCAGGCCAGCTGTCACCCAGGAAACAGGAATGAGAGTCCCCCCCCCCCCCATCCCGCACACGCTTCCAGCACCAGGCTGTGGACACCACCCCAGACCCACACGGGCAGGACAACACCGCAGGAGGTTTGGATTCAATAAGTTAGCCATAAAAGAGGGACTTACTTCATCCTCGAGGCATGGAAAACAAAACAAATACTTCCATTAGAGAAAGGTAAGCATGACCTGCTAGGAACCAGTGTGCCCCATGTGGGCGCTGGGGCCCCAGTCCGCCGGATCCACAGAGGCAGGGGCCACCATGGGCTCTTTTGTCCAGACACCCACCCAGTGAGACAGCCTGTCAAGTCGTCCTTCCCATTCTGTCGTCTGGATAATGACAGTGGCAGACAACCCTGAGATCGGGGGGGGGTAGGTGCGGTGAACCCCCAGCTGTGCACAAGACATGTCTTCACCCAGCTTCTTCATGGGAGGGAGGAGGGGGCTGGGCGCCTTCTCCTTTCTCCTCCAGGTCCACCTCCACTCAGAAGGGCCCCGGCCTGTTCTGTGCCGGTGCCTGTGGGAGGGGCACGGCAGCCCTAGGCTTCCTGTTGGGAAATGCCCTCACAATGGTGTGGGGGCGGGCTACTCGGCTGCAGGGACCCACACTGTCACCTGAAGCAGTTTTCTTGAGAAGCACCAGAAAACAGAGGCCCACACTGAGGACGGATGAAGCTGCTAGCCAAGATGGGGCCAAGCAAGCTGCTGTGCGGTCAGCCGGGGTCAAGCCCAGCATGGCCCAGGTCACTGACCCGACACCTGAGGAGAGAGCTGCTACATCATCGAATTTTACATGTGGGAAAGCTGAGCCACAGAGAGGGCGGATGATGCTCATCGTCCCACAGCTGGTGAGTGGTGAGGTGGGACCCAGCTGCTGTCAGGGGAGGCTCCGGGCCCAAGTCGGAGGCAGGGACCCGGGAGAGGCCCCACTCCACCACGAGGCAGAGAGAATCCCGCCCTCGGAGAACAGGGCGCAGGACTCGTGCCCCTGCCTTCTCTGCTACCACCGGGTGGGGCTCGGGGGGGCTGGCCCAGTGACCAATCCCAGGGCCGAGAGGGTCTGAGATTCCCAGCATTTTACACGTAAAGACATTGGAAGACTCGGACCAGGGAAAGGGGGAAATCAATCCTGAACCCCAATGTACTATCTGAAATAAGGAAAAGTGTAAGGGGAAGGAGAGGTGCACACGGAGCCCACACCCTTCTGGCCGGTGTCACGGGGGCCGCTCCTTCCTGCCAGACCCGGTGGGGAAGGGAAGGGGGTGGTGTCCTGCGTGTCCTGCTGCTCAGAAGGCCCTTCAGTAATGCCTGACGCCCAGGAAATGAAACACCAGCTACTTTCTAGTGCAGCTGGGGTTCACGGCTGCCTCACAAACAGGGCAAAGGCCCACGCAGAGTTGGAACGAGAAAGACCGTGTATACTTTGACCATCTGGGCTCAGGGCCCTGCCAGGCCGAGGGCGTCATGGGTGCAGCCTCCTCTTACCTCAAACTGCGGCCAGTTCATGGACATGCCCGGGCCGTGGTTGGCTCTGAACCACCTCAGGTCCTCCACCGCATCGGCAGCTTTGATGTTCTGCTCCAGTTCGCGGTAAATGTTTTTGTAGCTAAATTAGAGAGAGAAGCATGACTCTTCGGAAGGCAGGGATGGCCACCATTCGTCCTGGCCCAGCGCCTGGCCACAGCAGGCACCGAGGTCTGCAGCCACCCTACAGCTGACTTTACAGGAGATCAGGACACCCCACCCTGGCTTGGCTGGGTGGACATCTGGCCTCAATGTGCACAGATGACAAACAACCATGGTGTGGAAGCCACAGCTCTGGCTTCTAACAAGTCAGCTTTCAATCATGAGGTGGTGACTACTTGGCTTTGCTCTGTATCACATGATGCAAAAAGCACTGCATCTGGGCCACACAGGCCACCAATCTGGGTGGTCCCACTTAATCAGGTCCAGAACCAGTGTCAGGAAAGCTCCTCCTCATGCCTTCAGAGAGCTGGGAGGTTCACCCTCAGCCATGCAGAAGCAGCAGGTAAAGATGCCGCCTGGGCAGGAGCCCACTGCTGGGCAGCTCGCAGCGGCTCGCGTCTGGGAAGCTGGCCATGTAGACAGGAGTATGTATCACTGCGGCTCCTGGTATTTCCACTCCTGACCTGTATGGCTGGTAAGTCATTTACCCTCTCTGGGCCTCAGTTTCCTCCTTTGCAGAGTGGGCACAATGCCATCTGTTATGGGTTGAACTATGTCCTCCAAAAGATACATTGAGTCCTAACCCACAGCACCTCAGAGTGTCATCTTATTTGGACATAGGGTCATTAGAGGTAATCAAGTTAAAATGAGGTCACTAGGGTGGGCCCTAATCTATGGATATCTTTTTATAGAAAAGGGGAAATCTGCCTGGCCAGTGTGACTCATCTTGAGCATCGACCCATGCAGCAAGAGGCTGCCAGTTCGATTCCTGGTCAGGGCACAAGCCTGGGTTGTGGGCCAAATCCCCAGTGGGGGGCATGCAGGAGGCAGCCGATTAATGTTCTCTCTCATTGCTGTTTCTATTTCTCTCTCCCTCTCCCTTCCTCTCTCTCTAAAATCAATAAAGGGAAAAAAATTTAAAAAGTGGGGGGATCTGGACACAGACACAGAGACGGAAGACGACGTGAAGCCACATAGAGAGCAGATGGCCTGGGACTGAAGTGGCTCTACAGCCTCGGAAGGCCGGGACTGGCAGCACGGAGCTGGGAGAGGCTGGAAGCCCTGCCCCAGAGCTGTCCGAGGGAGCATGCCCTGCCGACACCTGGGTTTCAGACTTCTGGCCTCCAGACAGCGACAGAAGCAACTTCTGTTACGTAAGCACCCAGGGCGTGGTATTTTGTTACAGCAACCCCGAGATGCTACTACACCATCTCCTGCCAGGGCGGTTTGGAGGACTGAGGAAGGCCAGCATGCCAACAGGGACAAGCATGCACATACGGGAGCTATTCTGCACACAGAGGAGCTGACAGCCCAGCCCTGCCCCAGCCAGCTGTGTGGCCTCGGGCAAGTCACTAACTTCACCTAGCTGCAGCTTCCTCATCAATAAGATGGGGAACAATGCCACCTACTTTATAGACGATCATAAAGATTAATTAAATGGTGGCAGTGTAGCTGCGCAATAATTGCTATTTTCGTTTTTTTATACAGAAGGAGACAAAGGGAATGTCATTTCCTGCTAACAAGCCTTGACTAGTGAGTCGATTCTAAATGGCTCTGCTCTATGGATGACAGAGGTCTCTCTGTCCAGGGTTAACCCAGATCTCTGCCCTGAACAAAGGCATCATGGGACCACAGACAGGAAAGTGCAGAAGAAATATTCCAGCCTCCACATCACGGTGCAGACTGAGTCTCCAAGGGTCTGTGCTGCCCAGGCCTAGAACAACTGAGAAGCCAAGGACTGGGCTGGTCTGGATGGAAAGTACCTAGGAGAGGCCTCAAAGTCAGACCATCATGGGGGCAGGGCACGCCAGGCTGGAAATGCTGGACTTGCACCAGGCTGACCTCAAATTCATCAACTGTAGCTGGTCGCAGCTATAGCCCTCCCCCTGGCAGGCCCAGAGTTCTGTGCGCAGAGCGGGGGGCATGGCCCCTGATCGTGTGGCTGGTCGCAGCTATAGCCCTCCCCCTGGCAGGCCCAGAGTTCTGTGTGCAGAGCGGGGGGCATGGCCCCTGATCGTGTGGCTGGTCGCAGCTATAGCCCTCCCCCTGGCAGGCCCAGAGCTCTGTGCGCAGAGCGGAGGGCATGGCCCCTTATCGTGTGGCAGGAGGCCCAGCTCAGGCCAGGGACCCGCTGCTCTGCAGCTGCGGACAGGCTCAGCAGGGGGTTCTCCCGGGCAGTGAACTTGGCAACCATGAGAAGACCTGACCAACACTGCCGTCCCGAGTCTGGGGACCAGCAACTGCGCTTTGTTCAAAGCCACATCGCACTGCCTTCACTGTGATGCACTTCGTGCTTAAAGGACACTCACCTGGACACATTGGACAGGTCCAGGTGCTTCTGAACCTCCAGCAGAACCTCCCGGAAGAAGCGCAGGCGCTTCTCCTCAAACTGCTGGCACTGCTCGAACACCTGCTCCATGTTCTCCATGTACTGGGGCGTGCCCTGGTCCAGCTCCTTCAGGGACTTCTCATACTTCTCTTTGGTCTGCAAGAACATGCGACACCACGGGAGGTTCACTGGCTGAGAGTAAGTGAGCCAGGCTCTGCGCACTCGGGTCCTCATGGCCTGTGTCCCTTTCCCACACTTCTGAATGCAGCAGCATCTACACTCACTCCTCGGGTGACAACACTGTGCCAGCCACTCTGGGTGACTTTGTAAGGAATGAGCACAGTGAGGAGCACTTGATCTAGCTCCTCTGCACCCTCAAGTCCTTTGGCAGTGGCAGCCTCTCCCCTCCCTTAGAGCGGAGCAGACGGTGGGGCCAGAGGGCCGGGGGCCAGTGCACAGGCCTAGCCCCCCAGGCCCACTTCCTAGGAACTAGTAAATTACAAGATTCTGTCCAGTGTTTCAGTCCTGTGACTCAGACGTTCCAGGCAGAGTCCTGCCTACCTCTGAGGAGCCCTTCATAAACATCCCGACTGAGTTTCTCACTAATCCACTGCAGGAGGAGGCTCGGGGACCTCTCTTCACAATGGAAGACACGGAAGGCCCCGGATGCTACACTACCTGTTCACGTCTCTTCCTGACTGAGGACCCACCACCCGAGCTCCTGCAGCCTCTGCCCACACCTCTTTGGGGCTTCACCGCTGAGGCTGCCAGAACACTCCTCCTGCTCCAGCCCTGGGGCTCCCTGCGTCCCAGCGCACCGGCCTCCGCCTCCACAGGACCGCTCCCACCCCAGAGCCTCCCTTAGCACTGGCCGGCCCTCCACTCCTCTGCCTCCCCTTCCAGCGGCGCCCAGCCAGCAGCAGCTCCAGCTCCTCACTTTGCCTGACTTTTGAGGCCACTGGCAATGTGGTCCTCAAAACCCTCTGCACCTCCATACATCAGCTCCCCTCGCCCCGCGGACATTCACACCTCCCGGTCCCGCACAAGGTTCCTCCCGCCCTGCCTGCAGCAACGGAGCGCCCAGCACCCTGTCCCCAGCACAGGGCTCCCGAGGTGGGCACACGGGCTCTGGTGAGACCCTCCTGAGGGCAGGAACGTGTTACCCAGGCAGCGGCAAAGGCAGACGCACTCACCGCGAAGAGCCGTGCACGGTTTACCTTAAGAACGTCTTGCTTGCATTTTTCTACTTTGTCTTGCAATTTCTTCAGCTGTTCAGGGTTGAGGGATGGGTCCACTTTGCTGTTGCTTTCCCGTGATATCGCCAACTTCTCCTCTTTGCACGCCGCGTGGTAAGCTTTCTTTGCTGCTTCTACCTACAGGGGGAAGAAGTTCCTGAACGGGGAGATTCTGAAAGGTCAAAATCCTTGCCTGAGGCCACACAGACCGAGGGATGGGCGGGGAAGTGCTTGTGCTGAGGTGAGGAAAGAGCAGGCGCCCCGCTGTGTGCTCAGTGTAATTACAAGTGGTTGTAACAGAGGGAGGAGCAGGCGCCCCGCTGTGTGCTCAGTGTAATTACAAGTGGTTGTAACAGAGGGAAGAACAAGCACAACGCTGTGTGTAATTACAAGTGGTTGTAACAGAGGGAAGAGCAGGCACCACGCTGTGTGTAATTACAAGTAGTTGTAACGGAGGGAAGAGCAGGCACCACGCTGTGTGTAATTACAAGTGGTTGTAACGGAGGGAAGAGCAGGCGCCCCGCTGTGTGTAATTACAAGTAGTTGTAACGGAGGGAAGAGCAGGCACCACGCTGTGTGTAATTACAAGTAGTTGTAACGGAGGGAAGAGCAGGCACCACGCTGTGTGTAATTACAAGTGGTTGTAACAGAGGGAAGAGCAGGCACAACGCTGTGTGTAATTACAAGTAGTTGTAACAGAGGGAAGAGCAGGCACCACGCTGTGTGTAATTACAAGTAGTTGTAACGGAGGGAAGAACAGGCGCCAGGCTGTGTGTAATTACAAGTAGTTGTAACGGAGGGAAGAACAGGCGCCAGGCTGTGTGTAATTACAAGTGGTTGTAACGGAGGGAAGAACAGGCGCCAGGCTGTGTGTAATTACAAGTGGTTGTAACAGAGGGAGGAGCAGGCGCCCCGCTGTGTGTAATTACAAGTGGTTGTAACAGAGGGAAGAACAGGCGCCACGCTGTGTGTAATTACAAGTGGTTGTAACGGAGGGAAGAACAGGCGCCAGGCTGTGTGTAATTACAAGTGGTTGTAACGGAGGGAAGAACAGGCGCCAGGCTGTGTGTAATTACAAGTGGTTGTAACAGAGGGAGGAGCAGGCGCCCCGCTGTGTAATTACAAGTGGTTGTAACAGAGGGAGGAGCAGGCGCCCCGCTGTGTGCTCAGTGTAATTACAAGTGGTTATAACAGAGGACTTCATGCAACAGACATTGGCAACAGCCTGCTTTGTGCCAGGCGCTGTCCTCAGCACCAGACAAAGAACCTGGGCATTCATGGGGCTTCCGGTCTAGCTGGGGAGGCAACAAGAAACAGTTCAAGTTCAGGGTAAATTAGAAGGTGTTAAGTGCCAAGGAGGAAGAGAAAGCAAGGAAGAGAGATGGGAAGCTAGTGGTGGGGCCAGGCCAGTGGGGCTGCATGGAGAAAGTCACCCGCGATGACACGGAGCAAGAACCAAACGAGGGGTGACCATCTGAGGGAAGAGCGTGCCAGGCAGCGAGATCAGCAAATGCAAAGAAAGTTTCACGGAAGAAATCTACACGAGAGAGGTGTAATATTGGGAGGTGGGGGTCTTAGGCCACACTTTCCACAATTTTTAATGGCTATTTATTCATACACACACACCTATAGACACTGATGTGTGAGTAATTTATTTAGTGGGAACTTCCTCACTTAACCCAGTCACAGATTTCATTTTAGAGAGGAGAGAGGAGTCCGTAACCACGGCCTCATGAGGGGATAGTGTCATTACGAATGGGGCCAGGGACAAAAAGGAAGTGGCAAAGGCGGAGACCCAGAGGAAAAAAGGACAGACTGTTGTTCCGGCCAGAAGACGCAGGTCTGATGGGGTGATTCTGAGGAGGAGGGCAGTGCAACTCCTGAGCAAAGCCAGGGGACGGCACTTCCACCCCAGAGAAGGGGCTGCGGGGCTGCAGGTGGGTCCGGGCTGCTGAGGGCAGGGCAGGGGACAGGCGTGTGTCCGAAAGCCTACGCCGAGCCAGAACTGGACAAGACTCATGGCTTTGGTTGCTGCTTTCAGAAAAACAAAACTCATCAAGAGAAAGAAGAATTTTAAACTAATCCTTTCTACCAGCCAAAAGGGACTTTAAAATCTGTCTAGCAGACAGTTCTCAGGGCTGGGGGAAGCACTGTCAGAGGATAAGGTTGGGTTTTGAGCTCTATCACCAGCATGTGGTTCGATCCTGTTTCCTGACTGTAAGACAGGTCGATAAGGACTAAACTGAAGTCTGAAACTTGGGTAGATGTTTGCCACTGAGGGCTCTGGCCCGAGGCAGCCCCTTCTCTACTTCTGATGCTAGCAGCAGGCATTCCTGGGAGTGCAGGGAGCCGGGATGGGGCGACTCAGGGCCACAGATCCGGGCCAGGAGCACAGCCTGCAGGGGGCGGGGAAGGACCCGCAGGAGGGTGCACCTCTTTCAGCTTCTTGGCCCAGGGCTTCTGCGCCTTCCGAAAGCCGTCCTCAGCCTCTTTGGTCTCCTTAAAGCCGCCCATCATCTGCTTGTGGAAGGCCTCCTTCTGCCAGTTCTTGATCTTCTCGAAGTCCTCGTTCATCAGCGAGGCCTTCACCTCCAGGTGCAGCTCGCTCACCTTCTCCGCCTCAGACATGACGGCCATCCAGGCCTTCTCCACCGTCCCGTACTGAGGCCCTGCACAGGAGAGAAGCTGTGGTCACCTGTCCCCGCGGAGCGGACAGGCACGGTGGGGATTTCCCGCCAGCCTCTCCCAGCTGTCCTGTCGGGGTTTGGGGCCAGCAGCCTGGCTGTCTGGCCAGGAGGTTTCCTTTTGGTTGTTTCAGATACTTTTCTCTCAGTGGCTGTTCCTTTTTCAGTTCCTGGGATGATGAAAAGAATAAGGAACTGAAGCTGGATCAGCTCAGCCTTTCTTTTGTTAGGGAACTTGGGTGATTATACAAATTTCCTTTTCCAAAGTCACTGGGCTCTTTAAAGCTCAAATTTCTGCAGTTTTAATTTGTGTAAGGCTGCCGTAGGAGAGGGGCCTTCTAAAGTGAGCTGGCCTCTCCCAGGCCACGCCCTCTGGGGGTGCCGCTCAGCACCGTGGCCCCTCCAGGGAGAGGCGGCCCTCCGTGTCTACTCCCAGAAGAGCCCGGCTCAGACAGGAACTCGAGAGCTGCCTGCGGCAGGGAGGACTGGCCCCTCAGCAGAAGAGAAGCCCTTTCTTGGGGAGGAAAGAGCGCGGAGGCAGGAACTTGTCTGGCCAGATGGACATCTCTAGATAGTGGGGTGGGGGTCCTGAGTCACCTCTCTCACTGTTCTCAGGCAGGAAACTCACAATCGGCCTGTCATTTTGAGGGTGTGGGGTGGAGTGAGGTGAGGGAAGGAGGAAGAGGCAGAGCTGGGGATGAAAATGGAAGCCCAGGTCCTGTCTTCAAGGCACTCAGAGGACAATCACTGTTTGAGCTGGGTAGTGACACACTGGACGGGGGCAGGGGGGACAACCATGGAAGGTGAGCCCCTCTGAACCTCTAATCCCTCGTGTCTATGAGACCAGCAGCTCCCTGTCCTGCCTAGGTCTGCAACGTGGTGGCAGATCTACAGAGCTTTGTGACCCTCAAGCTCTGAATGGACAGAAGGGACTGTGCTGACAGTTGGACCCTGAGGCAGAAACAGATGACAACAGGTGCCATTACTGAGGGAGCTGGCCCGCCCCTGGCTGCTCCTCACCCACGCACAGTCGCCCCACTGGTCCAGACCCAGCTGAAACAGCCTGGGAGCCCTGCCTTCCGGAACCCCTGGCCCTCCAGGACCCCTGACCAGGGCCTAGCATCCCCTGGCTGGCGCCTTCGAGGACAGCGGTCATAGTAGAAGCACCTGCTCCAAAGCATAAACTCCTCCTGACCCACTGCCCCAGGGAATCCCATCATCAGTCAAGCGCCCCTCTACTGCTGGGAAGTGGGTTCTGAGCACAGCCCACATCCCCAGGGGTGTTCTGCCACTAAGCTCCTGAATCGTCTGCCTGGCTAGGGGGAGAGAGGGGCAAAGCCTGTCATTCCATTAACATTCAAAACTGAAGCCCTGCTGGATGTTACTACCTAGTCCCATCTGAATTGCTGCCTGGCCGAGCTCACACTCAGTGGCTCTCGGTGTCTGACCACGTGCTGAGCAGCCAGGCCTCTGATCTGACAGGAGCTCACTCGAGTTTGGGCCCTCAGGGAGCTGTTCTGCATTAAACCGGCAAGTGTGGCATCCGTGGGAAACTCAGACGCTGTCCCCAGAGCAGCCCTGCTGCAGGAAAGAAGAGGAAGTCTCCCAGCCTGTGCTGCCAGGACAGCACACTGCTACTCCCCCAAATGAGTCACAGCCCCGAACTTCGAGATGCCCTCCTGCCCACTTCTTTATGAGGGGAACTGGCACCGAGAGGTCACCGGTGTTTCTAGAGCTGTCTTGGACAGGGCCTCCCTACCCTTCTCCACGAGCTGCCTCCAGCGCCGGGCCCACTCCGTGAGCTGCTGCGCGTACGCCTTCTCGATGCGCGCCCGCTCGTGCAGGCAGTTCATGAGGTCGCTGCACAGGCGGTGGCCATCGTCGATCCGCTTCACGGTCCGCTTGTAGTTCCCGACCTAGGAGACAGAAGCACACTGGGAGGCTTGGGGCTCAGGGCAGTGGCCACCTGCCAGCCCCTCCCGGGAGAGGAATGGCCTGACCCCCTCTGCTGTACAAACAGCCTCCAAGCCAACCGGGCTCATCCCCTCTCCCACTTGAAAGGCCTTCACATCATTAGATGACAAGCTCCCGCTCCCACTTAACCAGCAGGAAGATGCAGAACAGCCATTCGAGCTTCTCAATATCCATGTGGCCAGTGTCCGTGCTCTGACCTGCAGGTCAGGGAGGGAGACAGACCAGCTCGGGGAGGGCTGCGATGGAGAGGAGCGAGAGGCTGAGGACACCGGGGGCATCTCACACAGGCTGAGTGGCCAGGGACAGCTTCCCAGAGAAAGTTATGTCTAACTACAGAGATTTAAACAATAATTTTTTAGTAACACAGTAAAATGATCTTACATTATAGACTCTTGGCTAAAGTCTTTTTTTTTTTTTTTTTTTAATCCTCACCGGAGGACATTTTTCCATTTTTTGTTCAGGTAGAGTGGGAGGGAGAGAGAGGAACAGAGAGAGAGAGAGAGAGAGAGAAACATCGATGCGAAAGGAGCACATCGAGTGGTTGCCACCCACACAACCCAACCAGGGCCGGGGACAAACTGCAACCGAGGTACATGCCCTTAGCGGGAACCGAACCCGGGTCTCTCAGGACCGCAGGCCGACGCTCTAACCGCTGAGCCAAACCGGCCAGGGCTTGGCTAAAGTCTTTGATCATCACAGGTATAAACGGGTTTTCAGTGCCTTCTGCTTTGATGTCATTACATGCTGAATTATCATGCCTCCTAATGACAGCAATCAACACTATTTCCCCTTACTGAGCACCCACTATGTGCCAAACAGTATGATACCTCCAAATACTGCCACCGCCCTAACAGGCAGGAATAACTGTCCCCACTTTATTTTTCATTTTTTTGTTAATCCTCACCCAAGGATTTTTAGATAGAGTGGTGGAAGGGACGGAGGGGGAGAGAGAGAGAGAGAAACATTGATGTGAGAGAGACACATTGATTGGTTGCCTCCCACACAACCCCAACAAGGGCTGGGGATCAAACCTGCAACCAAGGTACGTGCCCTTGACTGGGAATCGAATCCAAGACCTTCAGTCTGCCCGAGGGCTGACACTCTAACAGATAGGCTAAACCAACGAGCCAAACCCCAGGGCTACTGTCCCCATTTTAAAATGAGGAGACTGCCCTGGCCGGTTTGGCTCAGCGGTTGGAGTGTCAGCCTGCGGTCCAGAGAGACCCGGGTTCAGTTCCCGCTAAGGGCACGTACCTCGGTTGCAGTTTGTCCCCGGCCCTGATTAGTCGTGCAGGTGGCAGCCACTCGATGTGTCCCTTTCACATCAATGTTTCTCTCGCTCTTCCTCTCTCTCCCTCCCACTCTATCTGAACAAAAAATGGAAGGATGTCCTCGGGTGAGGATAAAAAAAATTAAAATAAAATAAAATGAGGAGACCAAGGCTTAGAGAAGTCCAAGTTTGCCAAGATCCCGCAGTTGCACATCTTTCTCTGCTTTGACCAGGACTAGATGAATTTTGATTCCTTTTTTTCACATATGAAAGGAGAGACTAGCTCATCTAAATGGTACATAATAAACAGATAATTGAGAAAATACTAGTGGCTAATTTGGAGTAATAATCAAGTGTTCAATGTTTCAGTCTTTGAGCCGCTGACTCGAAAGGACACCGCGTAGCTCATCCTGGACCCCAGAAATATGGTTCCCGGAGGAAACGGGACGGAAAAACCATCTAATTTTCAACTCTTCTCCATCTTCAAAAATCCTAGCCAACCTTTTCTGTTTCAGTGTTTCTAAGTCTCGCCTGGCTGATCACGCTCACACCCGCCCGCTGAGAGGGACCGGAAGCTCCTGCAGGACGGAGCCCCTCAGCCCACAGGAAAGAGTCCTCCCTGCCGGGCAGCCCTCGGAGACCAGCGCACTGCCTGTCAACCCTGATTTACGAACAGGGGAATGACCAGTTTCTCCTACCTGGAGCCTAGTTAACCAGGCCAACAGGGCTGGGGGAGTGTGGGAAGAGCCTGCAAAGGCACAGAAACATGGCCCTGCATGGAGCTGGGCTGTGGGGGAGGGGCTGAGACGTCGCTCCCAGGGGCTCCCAGGGGCTCCCAGGGTGCAGCAAGAAGCCCCGTTGGTCAGGTAAACTGGCAGCCTTCCCCCAAGGCTCGCTATGACTTTCAGTAGGCTTGCAGAAGTGTATGAACACCTGGCACCATTCCCTCCGCGGCTCCTCCAGCCGGGGCGGGGCGTGGCTGTCAGTCCTTAGTCAGGGAAGCAGGTGAGCAGCTCACCATCACACAGAGACTGAACTTGAACTTTCAACTCTCCCTCAGCCGCCCCTTCAGGAAGGCGAAAGCGAGCATTTCCCAACCAGTTGGAAGTCACAGCACATGCTCACTTCCCACTTAAAACAGGGCCTTGCTGTCATTTTATTATTATTACTTTTTAATCCTCACCCGAGGATATTTTTCTATTTATCTTCAGATAGAGTGGAAGGGAGAGAGAGGGAGAGAAAAGGGGAGAGAGAGAAATATCGACGTGAGAGGGACATACCGACTGATTGCCTCCCATAGGACCCCGACCAGGGCCAGGGAGGAACCGTAACCAAGGCACATGCCGTTGGCCAGAATCGAACCCGCAACTCATTGGTCTGCAGGCTGACGCTCTAACCGCTGAGTCAAACCGGCCAGGGCCTTGCTGTCAATTTAAATTACAGCAGCGTGAAAACTAACCAACCAAACACAAGTCAGTATGGCTGAGCCGGTGCACGTGTCCCTGACAGCCCCAGGCAGCCGCCAGCACGCTGGTTTCACCTCGCTGCTATCTGCACCATTCACGCAGGTAATCAACATCGAAACACGGCGGCCCTCCAGAAACCTGCCCACCTCTCTGACTGTCGAAACCCTTATAAAAAGATTCACAGAAAAGAAAAGGACGTTCCTTAATTTCTTAACAAGGTCCATGTTGGTACGCCATCAGCTTGTACAGGGCGGGACAAAGCAGGTCACAGTTGTGAGTGCTTGAAAAGGAGCTTATTCTTCTATTATTATTTAATTATGCGTTATTTTCCATAAGAACCATAAACTTACTTTGTCCCAACCATACTTAGATAACAGCTCTTGGGAATCTGAAAAGCAGCCAGGAGCACAGGCAGGATGTTTCCAGAAGCAGTGTCTTCGTTTCGATGCCGGCCCTGCTGGGCCCAGGGGAGAAGGGAGTGCTCAGGATAACAGGCTCGGAGACGCTCCAGCCACACCTGCCCTGCTGTCCTTTGCTCACTGAACAGGCTCCGTATGGGCTTGTGACAGACATCACTCAGTCCCACATAGGGACAGTCAGGTATCACTGTTTCTGTCTCCATAAGCCAAGCAAGGCTCCCCTGAGCAAGGCGCTGGTGGTCCTCCAAAAGCTGGGCCGCTGCCAGCTGTTGCCCTGAACTGAGATAAATCTGCACACGCTAACACGCACTCTGCCCAGCTCCACTCACTGAGCTCAGATGAACGTGCGCTGCGGACAACCCACGTCAAGGCACGGAATATTTCCCTGTCCCCACCAAGTCCCCTCGTGCCCCTGCCGTCAATCTCCTCCCACAGTCCCAGGCAACCACTAATCTGACTTTGGTCCCTTTTCCAAGCTGTCCAAGGTAAATGGAATGGCACAGTTGTAGAAACCTGGCTTTTGTGACTGGTTCTGTCATCTACCATAATTCTTGACTGATCCATACTGTTGCCTATGTTAGTAGGTCCCTTTTTATTGCTAAGTAGTGTTCTACTGTATGAACAGACCATCATTTGTTTCTTCTTCATCCTGTTGAAGGACATTTGGGCTGCTTTCAGTTTGGGACAATTATAAATAAAGAAGCCATGACCATTCACCTACAGGTCTTTGTGTGGACATGTCTTCGTTTCTTGGGTAAATACCTGGGAGTGGACTTGCTATATGGTAAGTGTACATCTAATCTTCTAAGAAATTACCTGTTAGCCAAAGTAGCTGTGCCATTTCCCCCCTATTTTCTTTTTTTAATTGAATTTATTGGGGGTGACACTGGTTAATAAAATTATATAGGTTTCAGGTAGCTCTGCCATTTTGCATTCCCATCAGCATTACATTCTCATGAGCAGTTGGTATTGTCAGGTTTTTAAACAAAAACCTTTTTAGTCATTGTTTAATATGCAGTAATAGCTCATTGTAATTTAGTTTGCATTTTCTTATGTATACTGAGCATCTTTTCTTTTTTTTTTTTTTTATCCTCACCCGAGGACATTCTTCCATTTTTTGTCCAGATAGAGCGGGAGGGAGAGAGAGGAAGAGGGAGAGAGAGAGAAACATCGATGTGAAGGGACACATCGAGTGGCTGCCACCCGCACGACCAACCAGGGCCGGGGACAAACTGCAACCGAGGTACGTGCCCTTAGCGGGAACTGAACCCGGGTCTCTCAGTACCACAGGCCGACGCTCCAACCGCTGCGCCAAACCGGCCAGGGCTGAGCATCTTTTCTTGTTTCTGTTTGACATCTGCCTTCTTTGGTAGTGTGGTCTCTTTTTAAAATCCAGGTATAATGACAACAGATTTTTAAAATGCAAGAAAATTTTCAACTATATGACAAGTTGATCATAAATTAAAATCAGGACATATATGATTAGCTATTTCTGCTTTATCAGTTTTGCAATTAAAAAGCTTCTCTCCTGCCCTGGCTAGGTGGCTCAGTTGGTTGGAGTGTTGTCCTGTACACCAAAAGGTTTTGGGTTCGATTTCTGGTCAGGGCACATACCTGGATTGTGTGTGGCTTCAACCCCAGGTTGGGGGGTATAAGGGAGGCAAATATACATCAATGTCTGCCCGTCTCTTTCTCTCTCTAAAATCAATTAAAAAATTCTCTCACTCTCGTCATCTCTCCTCAGGTGATCAAAAAAAAAGCTCTTACTTATCAAAACACTAGCTTGT